GCGTGTTTCAGTGAAAGCGAGCACATCTGGATGTGAATTGCTTACCAAAGCACCCATCTCGCACATCTTGTTCTGCAGACTCAGCACGTTACTGAGCATTTGAAGGAAGCTGAGGAAGGAAGGAAGGAGTATTTGAAGGAAGCTGATATGCTAATTCCGGGGTTGTGCGTCATGAGAATTAGTTATGGCAGGGCAGAAGTGGATCGCCGGCACACCACCCGAAAACCCACCAACTGTAGGCCGCTTCTCGGCGATCATCGAGGTTTTTGTTGCTCTCGTGTAGCTAGCGTCTCGTCAGATTGTACACTGACCCCTGATCCCTTCAGCTTAGAGGTGAAGCGCAGCAACGCTTTGCCTTCTTCCGGTGTGGAAAGAATGACCCGCAGTAGACGTGGGCCATTGCTCATACCTCTGACTAGAACATTTCCAAGCCTGATTATTTTCCTAACAGTAACCCCAGGAAACCCGAGTGGAAAGAGCCTAGAGACTTACCACTGGAGATCTTCGAACATTCGTTCCTTCGGGAGTTCAGCCGTTGACTCCGTAATGTTCCTAAAAACAACGCTGCCATAGGTAAATGAGTCGCTACGCCGAGGAGTATTTACGGCACGTGTCGCAGACAGCGGCTGGCAATACACGAGGCATTTCATTCAACTGCGAAGACGCAGTATTCGCACATGGTAAAAGCTGCGATATGCTGGCTAAAGGACGTTGTTCCGATGGCGCCGTGATCAGAGTCTCATCGGTAGGCATGAATATTCTTACCGATTCAGGTATAGAACTTGTCGATTTCCCTTTCCTCTGCTTTCCTTTGGCAGGTGCAAGCGGCACCAGTTCCTCTCCGCTCATAGCAGGACTAACCATACACCTCGAGGGATCATTATCTGCCTCGATGAAACATTTTCCTGGAAGGCTTCGCGTAAGCATCCCAATGAGGCTGGACCTTACCGTGGTGCGATGGTTTGTGTGCCTCAGCGATCCATTGAGCTATACTGGATGGTGCTTTTGTACCTTTAGAGTCACTCTTACCAGATTGGTCAATGGTTAGAGGCCAGACAAACTCAGCCTCCTGGTTCTCCAGGTTTGGGGTTGTAATGAGGGTGGCACCTTATTCCGTAAAACGAATTCCTTGTAGCCCAACTTCAAATGCGCTGCCTTGCGGTCAGGTTTTTAAACTAAACGCTTTGGTTGAGAACCCTAATCGTTCTCCTGTCTAGGCCTGAGCAACCTGACAGTATCCTGCTCACGCAATACAATGAATCTCTCTTCAAAGAAATTTCTGATGCTCTGGCCACCGCAGAGGATAATCAACAGTGCCCTATCTGCTGCATCGAGCAGGGTGGATAGGGGTTTGGATGCTACTGCTCAAGCCTTCCCGTCTTCTTATTCCCCCTTTTGCGCTTTTTCACTTACCGTCCCGTTCCAACTTCACTTTTATCCCCTCAGTTTTCAATCGCCCGATTCTTGGCCCTCCCCCAACATGCTTTGCTGGGATTTATCTTCTAATTTCAACTCATGGTAACGCGGAGCGTCACTCCTCTCCTGTCGACAAGCCCATGTCCAACCAAGCGATCCATTCCATTTCATCGGCTTCCATTTGGAGCCCTCGATCCTCCTTCAGATTGGCATGCCTCAATGTTCGCACATTGCTTCAGATCGGTCAACAGGCAACACTTGTCCGAACATCGGAGACCCTCTCGATCGATATCTGCTGCGTATCGGAGACTCGCCTGCAAGACTCGAGTGCTGTGCTCACTCTGCGATCCCCTTCAGGTGACGCAAGCAGTATTTTCTCATTGCGCCTATCCGGTGACGATGCAACTTTGAACACCGGCCAAGCTGGTGTTGGCATTGCCCTGAGTCCCCGAACTGAAGCTGCTCTGGTTGATTGGATTCCAATCAGTAACTGGATATGTGCGGTCCGATTGGTTGGCTCGTTCAAAACTTCGAAGTCGCGCGGGACTAACAGGTGTCTATTCATCGCTGCCTATGCGCCCACAAACTATAGCGATGATTCGGTAAAGAACGACTTCTACTGCCAACTGACCCAGCTCCTTCGCCACAGAAGAAGCATGGACGCTGTTGTGCTGGCGGGGGATCTGAACGCACAAGTTGGAAAGTTGTCCACTGATAAAATGCATCTGGGCGGTCAGCACAGTGTAGGCTCCCGTAATGATAACGGTGAGCGGTTATTTCATTTATGTGAACATGCTCGTTTATTTCTTGCGAGCACTAATTTCCGACACAGCACCCGCCGGAGGGTGACTTGGTGCCCACCAGCCTTGGACGCAAATCGATCACATTGCGATAAGTCACCGATGGAGAGGCTGCATCCAGAACTGTCGCTCGATTTGGAGCACATGTGTGGACACCGATCATGCACTTGTATGTGCTGACATGCGGATGCGTTTTGGCAAACGCCCACGACGACGTTGTGAGCGCATTGACACCAGCCAACAGGCGAAACCAGCTGTTCGGAATGCGTATCGAAGTACGTTGACATGCGAGTTGAGTAAGCGCTCACTGGAGACAATTAATAGTCACTGGTCACATGTTCACCAGACCTTACTAGCACCGGACAAATCCTCATGTGATATGTCTAATAGCCAACATGGATATTGGGTCTCTTCGCGGTCTCTGGAGCTTATCGACGCTCGCTGACATATCCCGGCTGGAAGCGAACACAATGAAACTCGAAAAGAGCTCCGGGCAAAACTCCCTGCTAGCCTAAAGAGAGACCGCGAGTCCTGGCAATCTCTTCGTGCATCAGAGATGGAAGTGGCCGCTGCCCTTGGCAACTTTCGTCAGTTATTCCGGCTGAAACGGGAAACGGACAGCAGGAGACCTGGTGCTACTGAAACCATACGTGACGAGAGTGGACAGCCTATCCACAATTTGTCAAAACGTTTGGAACGTTAGGCTGAGCATTTTGAAAAGCAATTCAATCGGCTAGCGTTGTTCGATTCTTCGCGGGCCAGTGATCGCCCCACTCCGTGGGCTGTCCCTTTGGATCCACCATCTCGCTCAGAAGTGAAACATGAAATCGGACTGCTGAAGTTGAACAAAGCCGCGGGACCAGATGAGATCTACCTCCAGCCCTCTTCAAATTCGGGCGGCCTGCTTTTGTGGATGATTTATACGAGTTACTAGGGAAACTGTGGGAGCAGGAGACTGTCCCAACCGTCTGGAGCCGCTCCGTTATTGTTCCCATCTTTAAAGGAGGCACACGATCGGAATGTGGCATCCATAGAGGAATCAGTCTGATCTCTATCGTCTCCAAATTGCTTGCCTCTGTCATCCTTCACAGACTGACTGGCACTCGTGTAAGCCAGATTCGTGAAGAGCAAGCTGGATTTCGTCGAGGTCGTGGCTGCATTGACCACATCTTCACCTTGCGGCAGTTATTGGAGCACCGTCACACATATTGGCGGCCCACCGTTGTCGTGTTCCTCGATATCATAGGTGCATTCGATTCTGTGGATAGACATGCACTTTGGGACTGTCTACTCAGGAAAGGTGTACCTGAGAAATATGTGAATATTATCCGAGCATTATATGCGCGTAGCTCGGGCAGAGTGGGGGCTTACGGCAAGTTGTCGTCGCCCTTTAATATCTCCAGCGGTGTGAGATAAGGATTCCCGCTGTCACCTTTCCTCTTCCACTTCGCTGTTGACGAAGTCATGGAAATCGCGTTCACAGGACACGACTTAGAAGGTGTGGAGCTACTCCCAGGAGAACGACTTCTTGATTTAGAGTATGCTGATGATGTTGCCATGATCTGTGACAGCTCACAAACGTGTCAAGCGGCACTGGACAGATAAGCACTAACTGTCCGTCAATTCGGGTTTTGCTTCGCACCCTCGAAATGCAAAGCGTTCCTCCAAGATTGGTCTGGACCGCCTCCTACGCTGACCCTTGGTGGGGATCAGCTAGAAGTCGTTCACAAATTCAACTACCTGGGAAGTTGTATCAGCGCCCGTGGAATTGAAGATGAGATCACGAATCGTATAGCAAAAGCTCGGGGCGCTTTTGCTAACCTTCGCCACTTATGGCGCCGGCGCGACATCACTCTCGCCCTGAAGGGTATAGTGTACATTGCAGCAGTACGTTCGACCCTACTGTACGGTTGTGAAACCTGGCCGCTTAAAGCAGCGGACCTGAAGAGGCTAGTTACGTTCGACCACCGGTGCCTTCGTAATTTAGCTCACATCTGGTGGAAATACCGCGTGAGCAACGAGCGTGTTCGACGCCTTGTTTATGGCACAGGAAAAGAAACTGAACCGCTCAGCACCGTTATTTCACGCATCAGGCTCCGATGGCTCGGCCACGTGTTACGCATGTCAGCCCACCGACTCCCGCGACGTGCGTTGTTTGCGCGCCGGGGGTGTGGATGGAAGAAGAGGAGGGGTGGCCAAGCGATGACTTGCTCGAGAGTAATGAAGGCCCTCACTTCTGAGCTGGCATCGGTTGGTGCGTCTCGGCTTCCTGGTTGGGGTCCGAAAGACGATGAACACATTTGGTTGGACACACTTGCTGATATGACTAGGAGCCGACCTCAGTGGCGTTCGTGCTGTGAGTTTCTTTGTCCCACCCCATCCCACTTAACCTCCCCCTCCAACCACTATCTCATTATTTAGCCTTATATAATTTTGCATAATAATTTTTTGGTGCACAGCAGCCGGCTGATAGCTTACCGGAACGATGCCCATCCGTTACCGGTAGCTCAGCCAGCTTGCACCAGTTGCATTTTTTCTCCTTTTTTCTGTGTATTGCGGCGCAGTAGCTGAGGTGTTCCCCGCCTCTAGCTAACGTGTATGATGATGATGATGATGATGATGTTTCGTACAGTTTGGGCTCCATTAAGATAGAACGCCTCAAAGTCATTGTAATAACAGCTTCCTAAAATGTTCCGTGGTATTTCCTGTTTGTTTTGCTGGGTTACTTGTGCTTGTTATTTTACCATGGCATTCAATAGCAAAATCCATCTTCCTCCCTCTCCAGCCTACTTGCATTGTGAGGCGACTACTTTCTCTTGCGCACTGTCCATATAACCAATTCCCCACCCTCACTTCACCTTATGATGCATCTCTGACAATCTTGAGAGGCTATGCGCCGGCAATATAGCCTGGTTGTTTTGGGAAGCGGTGGGGTTGGTAAGAGCGCTTTAACTGTCAAGTTTGTCTCTGGAAAATTTGTTGAGAAGTATGATCCAACGATAGAGGATTTCTACCGAAAGGACATCTTGTAAGTGGCCGCACGTGTTTTCCTACACATTCTGCTGTTTGATTCCCCAGTTGATGTCATGAATTAAACCGTATTGTTTTATGTACTTTGAACCGCTTTGCCATCTTCCAGAGCCAATTGCCACTCCGTTCACTCAGCTGCACTGTTCACATGCAACGATTTCCTTACAAACTGCTTTTCGATTTTACCATGTGGTCATTATTAGATTTGCTGTCTCCATGCTTATTTACTACAGCTGCACCCGATTTGATAGTCGGAATAACCGACGTTGTTTGGTGACTGCTGAGTTCAGCACTAATCTTTACACGTCAAAACTTGCACGGCGATGAATGATTTGTTCTGTGAATTTTCACCTGTTATGTAATCGTGTCGGCTACAGTCTTGGTCGTATAACTGTTGGTGGCTGTCGGTGGTTGTGATTACTCCTTTCATCAATTGATCATTTTATTCATTGTTTTCACGATAGGCTCCTCCGAATCTTGCCTCATTTTTCCTATATGCTATTTTTAAATCAACTATACGATTTTTTTCCTTTAGAATACTATACCCTCACGGTATTTCCAAAACACCCATCGCGAGGAGACTAGACCTTAGGGTGGGTCGATGGTTTACGTACCTCCATGGTCCGTTGAGCTACGCTGAGGGCATTTTGCTTGAGCCTTCAGGGCCACTCATATCAGACAGATCAATGGTTAGAAGTCAGACTAATTTTGTAACACAATCCTCTTTCGTGGTTAGGGAGAGGTTGATTGCTCACTTCCTTTTAAACCTAGCTATGTGAGACAAAAGGTTTACGGGTTATAAGCTCAGTGCGATTAGTGTAGAACACCAGCGCCACACATTGTCTCTGACGGTGGGAGGGAACCGTCGGGTTCTCAATGGTTTGCCTCCGCCCGCCTCAAGCCAAACAGCCCCTGGTCAAATTGGTGCAAATTTGCCACAGTGCACATGTGAAACTAGCAGCATGAAAGAAAAAAAGCAGTTGATGGCTGATGTGGAAGTGGAGCGTTATACTCGCTTACTGCTTGAAAGGACAGGGTCTGTTAACCGGTTGCCAGAACCATATGATGACGCAAAGGAATGTTGCGTACGACGTAGCAATATTATCGAAGGATATGGGGCTTCCCCAAATGAATGCAAAACCTTGCCTGTCGTCACTGATCAGGTCTTTGGGGTCGGTTGTCAGTTGAACCTCCCTAAGGTGGAACTTAAATATTTTGTTGTTAATCCTGCCACGTATTGGAAGTTCATGAGGCAATTTGAGTACTTCATTGAGAAGCGAGTTCACGATACTGAGCATTGACTCCTATATTTGTTGTGCTACTGTCGAAATCGGGCGAAGGAAGCTATCAACGAGTGTGTTATGTTGCCTCCGGATAAGGCTTACATTCAAGCTAAAAGGATCCTTTATGACTTATTAGGTCAGAATCATGTGGTCGCCAGATCACTTATTGATGGATTACTAACAGACCTAAGGCCGTTTGCCTAAGATGCCGAAGCTATTTCTCGTCTCTCCCTAAAGATGGAGAATTATCACATAGCGTTGAACCAGATGGGGTTTCTCGCTGACCTATATTCGATTGAAACTATCGAAAGAGTTGTACGGATCTTGCCTACGAGTATGAAAACAAGTTGGGCTCGCACAGCCTATACCATCCTGCAAGAAGGGAGACAAATCACTTTCAAAGGTCTGTCTGAGTTCGTCACTTCTGAGGCCCACATTATGCGTAGTAGATTCAGACAAATAGCATCAATGCCTGAGTTAGGCCCGTCTTGTTCCCAAGGTCCGCCTCTCCATGTACGCAGTGTGCTAACTTCAGCGTGGAACCGAACTCAGCTTGTCTTGTTTGTAGTGACCAACATGGTACTGCGATGTGCCGAGAATCTTAGCTTCCAGGGTGTCTGATAGATGGGAGTTAAGAAGATAGAAGAAAGCATGTTATAAATGTCTCGGCAGTAGTCACTTGGCTGCTTTTCGCACATCGGATGACAGGTGTCTCCACTCGGGTTGCTTGGGTCGTCATCACCCACTACTACACCTGGAGCGCAATAAGGACCCGATGCTAAGAACGAGCAGCTGTTGTACTGCTTCTTGTTCAAGAAAGGAAATACGGCTGGGCATAATATCTATGCGTCTACAGGGTGCTCTGAGATCCGTTAAAACTTACGCGTTGCTGAATAGTGTGTCAGATTTAACCTTGGTACAGGAAGATTTGTCACGAAGTTGGAATATACATTTTGCCTGAATCGTTAGAGGTTAGTACGCTGGCTGGTACGTCGTTGCTTGATGCAAGCTCGGTTTGTTTCCAGTTGACCTCGTTGACTGATGCTGATGTGATTCATGTTCCTCATGCCTATTGCACAAAGAATTTGCATTTACAACCAATCAAAGTTCTTGCTAAAACTGTAGTTTGTCGCTAACGACACCTCAAGGGTATACAACTTAGTGAGTTCCGAGATAACTGTGTGCGAATTTTAATTGGAGCTGATGTACCTGCGGCCTATTGGCACCTAGAACACGCCTTGATGGGAGGCATCAGCCATTTGCAGTAAGAGGCCTACTTGGATGGACATTGATTGGGCCGATAGAATCTGGAAGAGATTCATTTGTCTCGGTCAATCATGCTCGGTGTGATCCACAATCCGTGGAGGATCAACTTTGATCGCTATATGACAGCAAGTTTGTCAGCTTTGGTTCTGAAGATCGCGCGGTATCCGTCGAGGAGACTTCATCAGCTGCGCCGGATGGTTTAGAAGAAGTTATCGTGCAGGATAAGTCCAATGTGCAACGTTTGATCTTTCCCGGTCTTTTGGGTAATCATTTTAAGTTAATTGTCAGTTCATTAAAGTACTTAGCCTAATGTAGCGGTGTTGCGATATCTACTTTTACCAAAACTCTTATTTCTATACACATCTGCTCTTGTAAAAAGCTGGCCTCTAAGATACTGACCGATACAAGTCATCCCCTGCATACTGCCTTATCTGAATGTTTATCAACTTCCTCTACTAGCCAGAAGTACAAGCTAATCTATGCCCGCACACAAGCTTACCGCTCGTCAGTCATCTCTTACCTCTCGTGTCTTTTACAAGACTCCAACTCTGTCATCCTTGACTTAACCAGTCGACTTTCAACTTGATGATGTTCATTTGTCCTTATCTACCCGTCCTTTGTCATATTGCTTTGCCACTGATTTGCTTTTTTGGTACATTGTTGAGATCGTGTGTGTTGTAGCTGAATATTCACCCATGCAGGGTGTATAAAGCAATTTCTTGACTTGACTTAACTAGTAAGAACTATTTAGAATCGGGTGTGATGTAAGTAACATACTCACATGACCTACCTTTCTTTTTAGATACCGCGTACACATTCTTGCTTGTCTTTCTTTTATCGCAGGATTGATGGTGTCCGGCATACGCTCGAGATTCTGGACACCGCCGGTACGGAACAATTCTCTTCACTCCGTGATCTTTACATCAAAAACGGTCAATGCTTCTTAGTCGTGTACAGCCTGATTAGCCATCAGACATTTAGCGATATTCGAACGATGCGTGATAACATTCTGCGAATCAAAGGTCTGTCTGGTACTTCTGCCAAAAAGGTTCCAATCGTATTGGTTGGTAACAAAGCTGATCTGGCTCGAGAAGGCCATCGGGAAGTTCAGCGACGTGAGGCGGATTCCTTAGCTTCCCAGTGGTGTTGCCCGCATTTAGAAACCTCTGCGAGAGATGACTCAGGTGTCAACGAAGCATTTATTGAAGTCGTCAATCAGGTAATTTTCACTTTGATCCATCTTTACTGTTTATTGCGTAATTTCTCTATTTTTTGTAAACGATCATCTACCAAGCATTTCTGGTTGTATGATTGATTCTCTTTATCCTCCTCATTTCATCGATTTGGCCCATCCTGTTCCAGTCTATCAGGTGCGGAAAGTACGCTCAGTAGCTGGCTCCTAGCCGAAGTAGCACGAATCACATCGGGTAGACGGTAACCAAACCAAATACTAACGGGAACTTTTTAAAGCGATTCATTGCAGCTAGACTGGGCCAGACACCCAACACACATCCGTGAAGACACTAGACCAGCTTATCATCCTATTGGGACTTGTCAGTAGCGCGCATCTGCCGAATCCTCTCGGATTCGAATCCATGACCTTATTATTACGAGTTTATGGCTGATGCCACTAAACTGTGGCTGACGGCAATGGACCACCATGATTAAATTCTAACTGCGATATATCGCGGCTCATCCTCCACTGTCATGCGTCTTCATAACGAAACGGTTGTCCAATCAATCAATCAACAACTGCAGTACATCAGCTATTTGAGCTGATGCTTCGCTGCCATACAACCACGATGACCTATAAAATAAAGAATAATAAGAGGGAGAGAAGGGGGACTTACCTGAGAACCTTAATGCCCTAAGCAAATATTCAGGGCCAAGACGCCTACACTTTGTGTAGACAACATACCGTCGCAAACAGCTGGCTATCGTGCAAAGATAAGGCGGCGTCGGCGAGACAGCTTCCTTGCGGCTTTCACTGCCCCACGTCATAATCAGCCATTACCCCGCAGATAACTCAGCACCGAACACACTTTAAACAGGTAATACGATTAGGAGACGTCAGCAGATGTGCCATGGGCGTCGGTTGCGAGCCATGTCCTGTAAAGTCTTGAGCCAAGCACAAGGCGAGTCACGTGGACTCAAGTCCGGAAGGCGAGACGGACCAACTGCACCCAGTTTGGCCGTCAGTAACTTCATTTCCCACTTCCAATTCAACTTCTGTTCACCTCGAGCTTTGCGCCACCCTATACCTGGCAGATTAAAAAAGGCTCTCCTAGGTAAGCGGTGACCAGGCATACCGGAGCACGTGCCCGAGCCAACGTATCTTATTCAGTGCTGTCTGTTGTTCTAAGGTGCTAGCATGATTATCACTACCTAGTACTCGCCCACGCACATCACCGTTGCGGACACCCTGGTGCCATCCGACACCAGAAATGTTTCGCAAACAACGATGGTCAAAGACTTGAAGGTGCCTCAGACCATAATTAGCACCCAGCTGAGCTTCTGAAGAGCTCAGACGCCCTGTGTGTGCGTTCATATCACCAGCAACTACTATGATATCTGAACTAGTAGCACTGCGTAGTAGCGCGTTCAGTTCGTGATAGAATGTGTTCTTGACGGCAGTAGAACTGCAGTCGGTGGGGGCATAAGCGGAAATCACAAACAAACGTTTTATACTACTTCGTGAGTCAACCGTGGCTGATGTCATCAAACGGGCTGCACATAAACGGCTGTTCACCTTAATCCAGTCGAGCACCGATGGCTCAGCCTTGGAGCTTAGAATGATATCTACACCAGCTTTACCAGTGAGTGCTGCATCGGCGTCTCCGGATGTGTGCAACCAATAACGAGAGGACAAGCCGGGTGCAGTTAATTCAACAATCCCATTGGGGTCATTGATTCTAGTTTCGGACACACAACACACATCAATACCCAGTGTGTCCAAGGTGCGTGCGAGTGCAGCCTGTTGACCTGTTTGTCTTAGAGTGCGAACGTTGAAGGTCGCCATGGAAACGGGACAGCGTGGCCTTATAATAGACTGTTACCGATAGGCTTTCGGTGCGTATCGCGAGAAGGTGGCTGCAGATGCTTCTACTCCAGTGGCACTTCGGTTGCTGCCAATTAAGCTGGGAATTATAGAAGGTAGGTTAACAATGGGGTTCGGAATGGGAGTAAGAGAATCAGGTGGAAAAGAACTAAGAGAGGCGCCAGCAGTAGCATGTTTTCGCTTATCCGCCCTGCTGTATGCAGCAGACAAGGCGACTCTTGGTAATCTGCGCGACGGCCGATGCAGGATGAAGTCTATGTTTGAAGAAAAAGTCATGGTTGTATGTGGGTTGGGATACTGCCAGGGCGCCCAGACCCAGACAGGAGGACGATTAGGGTCCTCATCCAAAGTCTTTGGCTCAAAAGCCTGTCCGCAAGACAGCGGTTGTCTAGCGCTTACCTGGATGTTTGGTGGCTGTTTGACTGAGTCTAGCTATGATGAATCGTCTTAAAAACAATAAACACTCTTACTACCATTATGTTGTACAACGCATCGACTGTGTACTTTAGATTATACTAATCGGTGAGCGGTTAAGCTGTATACGGATGCACGCCTGTAAATGCAGCCAGCCATTAGGAGGTACTTGGCCACAATAACCACGAGGATGCCGCACATCCTTCTGCATGTCTATATCTCTTGGTTTTGTTCACTATGATAGCGCATCCGTTAGTCTCTTGTTGAATCCACATCCCCATAGATGTCACTGTACTCGTTTCTGTCCGTTGTGTTTTGCTCCCGTCTCTTTACACAACATACTCGAAGTTATGGCTAAGCTATTGAGACACATAATAATGATCCAGATTCAGTTTCAGTTCACTTGCCAACCGTTATCTAAGCATCACAGTGTAATGCATTGCGCTGGTATCCTTTACTTCGCCATGTTATCATGACGGCAAAGCTAGGCGCAAAGGTTCACTGTACACTGCTTTGCGTGGTACTGCTTTTCAGCGGCCAAGGTTGCCCCAGCGAAACGTACCGCGATTACCTGTTGACTTGTTGTTTATAAGCAGCTTAGATCAATACTAATTACAGTGAGTTGTCAGGAGGAGTTAAAGTATGCAAATGCTGTTCATCACGGTTGGCTTCTAGCAGATATTCCGAAAAACACTGGGAGGCCATTCTCTTTCTGGAACAGTCGGTAGCGCGCGCTCTCTGTATAGTGAACGGCAGAAAGAGTCTTGAGCCTCTGATGTACGGTCGATGTCAAAAGCCATAGGTAACTACTTTTGAGATCGCGCAGCGTATAATATCATTAGTTATTTAGCGGTTTGAGTTGGAGATGCGGTCGCTCGGGTGAACAAGGCCATTGACTTACTAAAATGGACTGATTTCTGTAAAGCATCCGAATAATCTCACTGATAGAGCGGAAGCTGGGTGTAGGCAACTTGATGTTATACTGCCACCTATCTCTCAACTACCCTATGTTCAACAGGTTTTCTACTTATCTTTTTGATCGCTCTCTTAAGGCATGAATCAGCTTGGTCCACGTTTTTAGTTTCGTTTGTTATCAGCAGCACTAGGCTGTTTTGATGCTCACCTGATCGGTGGCGAGGTGGATTAGGTGCTCTCCTTGTCTTTCACTAGTCACGGCTTTGAACCTGAGTGGGTGCGGGCAGCTTCAGCTGTTCGCCAGTGCGCATATAGTAGCCAGTGTTTGCGCAGCAGCAAGGCATTGGCAAGAAGCTTATACACGTTGACTGAACCGTTGTAATGCTGTGCAGTGAGACGTCCGGTCTTTTATCAGTGCATCTAGTGCGAGAGCATTGTACAGTCGAGCTTCCTAGGCAAATACAGCATAGTTCCTTCAGGATTTTTTGAGGAAAGGACGGAGTCGGTTCACAAAAGGAACTCGCAAAGAAAATGTACGAAATTTCCCAAGAAATAGCCTGGTGTCATTATCTCGGGATAATAAGACATGACATCAGCGAGTGAATCCTCTTCGAGACGTGAGCTTTCCGGCAGATTGGAATGCTCACCTCTCAGCCCAACAGCCTCCCACATGTCTGGGAAAGCACCAGCCTACAGTTTCTACCTTTTGGGTCTTGTCATTAATGCTGATTTCTCGGACCTCTCCCGAGTTCCGACCGCATGTTTTCTGGATTCAGTAGACCACATCCAACTTACATTTTAAAGTCCCCACTACTCGTAAGTAATCAAAATTCATCCGCACAGTTTCAAAAGAACTGTGTCGTACACAGTCGCTATGCGAAAACTCATGCACTGGGGCCAAACTTGTCCTCTGCACAGTTGGTAACTTGGCACGACAATGGACGATGAGCTGCACTCTATCGCATTTACGTATCAGTTACGCGGGTCTGCCGCCGTTACCCATGGCTTAGTGTCATAAGCTGCGGGCATCCGGAAGGGATCCGATGAACGCGCACCACTGACGAGGCCCAGAGGGGCGAAACAGCCGTCTGGTGCTTTTCCAGACGAGTAGAGCCTCTCCAATAATTTGACCGTTTTAGCTTATTGCTTTGCTATGATTAATGGGTGGACTTATTACCTCGGTAGTTGCGATAACTGACAGCATCGCTATGTCCCATTACCCCGTAATTTGATCCTCCGAAATAACTGCTGCAACCTCCGACACTGCTCGATCGTTCAGTCGCGCTAGATTCTACTGCCAATGAGCTATATCGTCTGCGTTCTACTGTCTCTTCCATCAGTCATTGCATGTGAACCGACCATTGCGCCATTTTAACCATTTGAACTGTAGAATTGAAACGAGATATAGAGCCACTGTTTTACTTTATGAGTATGGAGTACATGAGCTTTCTGGCTGAAAAGTGTACCGCATAATGGTTTTGACCCAGACATATTCAGTTAGACAAGTTAAGCACAGGTCTTAAGTAGAAAGCGCCGCTCAGGCTGCTGCCCAGTACAACAATGTGATCATGACATCTTTTAGCGCGACAATACTGTGGACGAGTGTAATCTATTCCTCTCTCTTGTAGGCTGGTGTATTTCATGGTCAGGGTACTCACACGTCTTTCAAGCGATGACGTTTTTCGCGATCCGTCTTCTGGTGCTTAGGAAGCAAAGAGTGGCGGTCGGCAGCTGCACGTTTCGCCATCATGCAATAAATGGTTCAGAAGAGAGTGGGTGGGCTGCACACAGGTTATTCGCTTCCCTCCGGCTACCTGTAGGGAAAATCGTCC